TGTATTTTCGTTGTATATGTTTCAAGGGTGGGTGATTTTTTGTGTTTTGAATGGTAGTATCTATAAGATTAAAAAACATAGCTTGAGAATTTAGGGTTGCCGTTTCAAAACTATGGTTCGATTCTCAGCTACAAATATAGCTTGTATATGTAGTGTTCGGTTAGTTTTGGCGGATGATTTTATTCTCACGTTGCACTTATAATTCTCATATAATTTTCTACCAGCATTTATATCATATGATCGCCTATCACTATTTTAAATTCATTTTGATTAATATTTAGTTTTCTTACAGAATAAGTTTCCAATCAAATTTTTTATAATTATACATATGCCATTTATATTTTTAGCAAATTATAAATTCATCAAAAAATTATTATTTTTTGCAAACTAAAAGGAATTAAACCCTAAGGGTGGGGAGCCTTAACCCTAAGAAAACCTTAACCCTAACAAACTAAATAAAACTTTGGTTTGATTCAGCTCATCTATAGTGAAATCTAGCTCGTATATTTAGTGTTCGGTTAGTTTTGACGGGTGGTTTTATACTCATGTCGTACTTATCGTTCTCATATAACTTTCTACCAGCATTTATATCGCTTATCACTATTTTAAACTGATTTCGATCAATATTTAGTTTTCATAAAAAATAAGTTTTCAATCATATTTTTTATAATTTATACATATACCATTGTATAATTTTTTAGCAAATTATGTATTCATCGAAAAAACATCTTTTTGCAAACTAAAAGAAACTAAACCCTAAAGATGGGGAGCCTTAACCCTAGAGAAGCCTTAACCCTAAGGAAGTTTTAACCCTAACACAAAACAAAACTATGGTTCGATTTAGCTCAGCTATACTGAAAGCTAACTCGTATATGTAGTATTCGATTAGTTTTGGTGACTGGTTTTATATTCACGTCACACTTCTCTTTCAAAAAGAACTAAAGTCTAAGAGTAGGAGTCTTAACTATAAAGAATCCTTAACCCTAACAAACTACACATATTTATAATAAATCAAACTATAGAGTCATATCTAAGCTTTTATACACAATTTTCTTCAATAAAAATTACTTAATCTCAAACAATCGATAAATGAAAATATTAATAATAAAAATATATTAAAAGAGTCCAAAAAGGCAACATTATTATCCAAAGTAAATATTAAAAAAAAAAACGGAAAGAAACATCTAAACCCGTACG